AACATTTTAATTTGTATCTCTACTGTTGATGCACGGATGTTTGTGCTAAGATATGATAATATAAAGGTGACATCTACACCTGACATGCATCTACTAAAAACAGATTACGACGTGAATCTTCCAATCGAAATTAATATCGTTGATGCGTTACTAGCAACAACCTGGGGGCCGTTGTCAGAAGCATCGTAACGTTAAAGCTAACATTAACGCTAAGACTTAATGTTAAGACTAACGTTAAGACTAGTTTGATTTCTGACAACGGGCCCCTGGATATGTTACCACGTAAACAGACAGGTTAAGGATATTAATTTCTAGGAAGGAGCACATGAAATACCGAGTAGGAGTCCCGGCAAGATTTCTCCAACCTGCACATCTTCCTTCACGTCGCCGATAAAACCGACACCATCGTCGCCCGCTCGGCTGCAGCGCAAAGAAAAAAACAACTAATTAAACAACGACCGTACGAATTCCACATATTTGGATTTATCTCGTGATATATATCCGAGTACATTGGCCCTGTTATCGACAGTTTCGACACAACTGGTCTGACTGTCTTTGTTAAGATGAATGAAGTTGCTTGGGGTTGTCACCAGATGGCAGTAGGTGACGTGAGCTGTGTAAATTAACGGGTCAAAACTCGGATTAATCACAGTCTCATTATTCTTAATTTTACTATTAAATCCAATGAACTTATTGTAATGTTGACATACAGTTATTGACTGACCAAGGTATAAATCCCATTAGCAAACATTACGTTGATTGCATACATGCGCTCCTAGATGGCAAACACAAACTGTGAGTACGTGCGAAAGACGAACACTTTCAGAAGCTTTTTTAATACTTTTGGCATACTTTAGGAATACTTTCAGAATATTTTTGGAGTACTTTTTGAGTACTTTCGGAGTACTTTCGGAGTACTTTCAGAACCTAAATGGGAGCTTTTGAACTTACTCAGTGATTACCCTGCCATAGTCATTTCTTGTCTCTACCAATTTTCGTCCACCCGGTGTGGTGATCTTCGTCTTAGTCTTGCGCAGCTTCGCAGCAGAAAACGCTTTGATCTGTTCTTCCCAATTATCATCCATCGTTGAGATAGAACTATTTTTTATCAATGAATATGCCTATATGAAACACAGAAAACAATTTACATAACTATATTTATAATTATATAACTATTTTTTCTCGATGAATATTCCTATAGATATAGAACACAGAAAACAATTTATATTACATAGACTATACCATTTGCAACTACAGATTGCGTCAATATTTTTCAGCTAACAAACATAGTTCGTAGTTACACGACTAATGGTAGAATTGTCAAACATGACCGCGTGTTTTCCTCATTGGGACTTCTACGGGTATAAACATGTATTGTGCAAGTATCAATAAAATGCTCGCTGATGGCTTAGTATGCAAAGCACTTGTAGCTGAGCAAAGATCAAGTAGTTAATTTGGGAGAATTATAGAATAAGGGTTTGGATTACATAACCTCTTTAAGCATATAATCGATAGACAAACTTCACTACATGTTTATTAGATATTAGATCTTTATCCATTGACTCACTGAGTATTATCTAGTATACACACACCCAGTTAGTATGGGACTGAACATCTTCCACTATACACACTATGGATGCACCAACAGTTACACCAAACCTTGCAACTTCATATGCAAACCTGTATTAAAATTACTATAAATATGCTATGTGGATGCTAGAGCACATGCTTATATCAATGAATAAAATCTTAGACACAATTATTATATGTCATTAAATTCATAGTATTACATATAATATAGGTAAAAATACTTACTAGTATTGTAGTAGTACACAAAACTGCAGACGTAAACACGGCAAATGTTTCAAAATGCGAAAGCTCACGAATCCAATGTTCTGCGCAGACTATTCTGGGTATGTGTGTGGTACAGCAGCAGCGAACGTCCTGGGCAAGACCCTATAAATAACCACAGCTGCAGTTTAGGTGGAGATTACCACCACACCAGTTATGTACACACAGACAGTACAGCTTTTAGTGTAGCAGCCTCTGTATGTGTGGCAGTATCTGTTGCTGGCTATTACAGCACGTGATTAGCAAAATGTGAATACATCCACCCATATCCTAGAATTAGAGAGGTTCACGTACTTCCTAGTATTATAGACTTTCCTTGGAGAGGACGGGCGAGCACTTGAAGTAGATAGCCAGACTTTGCTCTTGTACAGATTACAGTCAGGTTCGAAAGCATCGCGTCCTATAATCTAAAGAAGCGGCAACCTTCAAGTCGAGGTGGTGACGTCATTAGGGACATACAAAATCTAAAGAATTGTGAATTAGGGAGGCGTGTTTCGAGTTTCGAGATAATACTATGGGCATGTTATTGTATGTTAATAAATTGTTTACATGTGATAAACAGTCAGTTGCCGACGAGAGATCAGTGTTGTACTAAAATTGAAACTTCTTCTACTTACTACTGGGGCGCAATCCGCAATAATTGACAACAATCCAATTAATCCAACCTTGACTCT